CGAGACAGGGTTTCTCTGTGTAGCTTTGCGCCTTTCCTGGGACTAACTTGGTAGCCCAGGCTGGCCTCGAACTCACAGAGATCCGCCTGGCTCTGCCAAGTGCTGGGATTAAAGGCGTGCGCCACCACCGGCCGGCTTCATATTGGTTTTGACTGTCAAATTAGCTTGGACCAGATCAGGTAAATTCCATCTGTAGAGTAGCCCAGAGTGATAGAAATTACTGTTTTTATCTTTAGTTATGAAAAATATCATTTTAGCTGAAAATACTTAAGTTGGTTATGAAATTATGTTATTATATTTTTGAAACAAGAACCTTGGCTATTTGGTATATTACAGGAGATCCTGCAAACAGCGGCCATTCTAGAAACTGCTCAAGCATAAGCTTGGGATGTGACCAACAGAGCCCTGTGAATGCTGAAATCCCCCTGGGCTTCTCTGGGAAAGGGCTTCATCTTTGACGTTTACTTTAAGTGAGGAATCCGGCTTTACCCTGGACACTGGGCTGGTCTTTTATTTCATTTACTTGAAAGCCAGAAAAAGGGACTTGCACACACTTTTCCTTTCTTTTCCTCTTCTTCTTTGCCTTTAACATTCCCAGGAGTGGTGATCATTGTGGACATGGCATTTTACACAGACATACACAAGGTGGTTTGTTGTACAACACCCTCCACCCTGTAACCTCCCGGAGTCTACTATGTTGTCCTAGATGGCCTGGAACTCACTATGTCGACCAAGGTGGCCTCGAACTCACAGAGATCTGCCTGCTTCTACTGGGATTAGCCACCATACCTGACAGGCAAGTTGTTGGCATACAAGTAGTTTTGTGGGAATGTTTTCTAGACATTTTCAAAAGTACTGAAAACAGAAAACATGACACATATTACAGAGGGGCAAGGATGTAGCTCAGTAGCACAGAGCTTGTCTGACAAGGTGAGGCTTATGGGATCCCTCCCACCAGTGCTGCTTTTCAAATACAATTCTTCAACCACCCATGAAAGTAGGAACGGGATTACATAAAAGCACACGGCATGGATGAGTCGCACATGCCAATCCCGCACTGGGAAAGGGTTGTATCTGTTTGCAAGTTCTTGCACACCAGAGAATGAGTTCTCCTTTAGCTAAGTTCCTTGACATTTGGTGGATGCCGATTAGTAATTGCCAAGACATTTTGAATATGAATTATGCTCACTTCCTGCCAATAAACTAGTTTGAAAATATGAGGTGAGGGAACACACACATGATCAAGAACGATCGAGTTAGCAGCCAATGCATTTATTTTTAGGTCCCCTCTATGCCTTAACAAACAAAAGCAACTCTGTGACACCCCCCAGCCCCCTGCAAGGTCTCACTCTGTAGCAGTCTGCCGCTAAACTCAAGACCATCCTTCCTCTGAGATCACAGGTGTACCCGACCACACCCAACTTCAGAAATTCTTAAAAAACAAGGTGATTTATGTATCTGAAGATTTAAGTTTGCTGTGCTGGGGATGACCCCCTGGGCCTCATACATGCCAAGAGCTCTACTATAGAGCCACACCCCAGCTAGAATTAAGTAAAAAGGTAATTAATAAGTAGATTACTAGGATCAATACTTGTGTTATTTAGATGGCAATAAACAAAACAAAAAACTGGACACAGTGGTTTGTGCCTGTATGCTAGTCCCAGCCGAGGCACAAGGACCACTTGAGTCCAGTTTAGTTATTAAGTTCCTATGAGTCTTTTTTTTTTTTCCAATGATGGCTTGAACCTAGGATCTCATATACGGTAGGCAAGTGCTCTACCATTAAGCTATGTTCCTGGCCCTATAGGACTTCGTGGCTATAGGCAGACTTAACAGAATTGTTCATCTAAGGTACTTCAGGTAGAATATAATGTTGACTAGCCATAATCCTTGCTTGGGTAACTGCAAGCCCACCCCATGTATTTATTTGGCAGGGTGGAAGTGGTTCTGCCACAGCAAATGTGAAGGCTTGTTGAACTTAAATTTCTTATTCACCGTGAGTCCTGGGGATCCAGTTTGGGTTGTCGGCTTGGTGGCATCTCTGAGTCATCTCGTCAGGTCCATACAACTCCATCTTTTTTTTTTTTAAATTTATTTATTATGTATACAGTGTTGCTTTCATGTATGCCTGCAAGCCAGAAGAGAATGCCAGATCTCATTACAGATGGTTGTGAGCCATCATGTGGTTGCTGGGAATTGAACTCAGGTCCTCTGGAAGAACAGCCAGTGCCCTTAACTGCTAAGCCATCTCTCCAGCCCCTAGAACTCCGTCTTATCTTGAAGCAAGCTATACATGCCCTGAAGTATCCCAGAAGCTGGGCAGTCTAGAACGTCTATCTTGCTAAGGGCAAATACTGTGAGTTAGATATTTGCTATCTTTACAAGTTTTGTGCATTGGAAAGCATATGACTACACATATTGCTGTTTATTCATTTCAATAGAAAGATGGTGAAAATTTCCTATAGGAAAATAAGCTCATAGTAAAATGTCAGAATAGACTGTATTTTGTATCCTTTGAAAAAATGTGTGTGCCTGCATCTGCCTAGAACGTATGGAGGGTCAGATTCCACTTTGTGGTTGGCGCTCTTCTTCCATCGAGGAGACTGAACTGAGGTGGTCAGGCTCAGGGCACGTGTGCATACCCACTGAGCTATCCCACCAGTCCTATTTGTACTCTCTACAAATCCGCCTTACTTTTTAAGTCATCAGATGACCCAAGATACTGGAGGAATTCTGACAACTCTTTTTCATCATAAATAGATGAAAAGTATCTATTTATAGTAAGTGAGGGTGGGTAAGATGGCTCAGCAGGTGAAGTCTCCTGCTACCAACCGTGATGGTTTGTGTTTGATCCCCAGGGTCCACATGGTGGAAGAAGAGAACTGACTCTGACCTCCACATGCATGCCCTGGCATGAGTGCACCCACACCCTCCCCCCCCACACCACACACACACACACACACACACACACACACACACACACACAATACTTGGTTATGTATCAGTTATTCCAGCCTTGTTTTCCAAATACAATGCCACACTATTTACCTTTATCAAATCATATCAACTACAACACACAGAGTTTATTTAAGAAAAGTTTTACTAAGTGTTAGTTAGTATTTCAGCAAAGTTATTGCAACAAGTTTAAAAGGCAGACAGACTAGTATAGGCTTTAAAGGAACAAATGAGGTTTATACAATTAAATTATTACACAGATCTATGGGGTTTACTGAATAACTACAAGGCCCAGAAAACAAATGAAATCTGAAAGATTAAATCCAGTATTAGCACCTACAATACCTCTAAAAGTTAAACTTTTAACTGCTTCATTCATTCTTTAGATTTCTTAACTTTCTCCCAAATACAGTGCTCTCAAACTCCTAAAAGAAAGGACATAAGAATTCCAATACTACGAGTATAGAGATAAAGAAGAGCAGGGGAAATTGACTTGAACTTGCAAGTTTAATGTGGAAGCCGAAACTTACCGAGTCAATCCAAAGATTTCTGTGCCCTGAATACTGTATGTGAGGAGGCTATGAATCAGAGTTCATGAGTAGGTTACAGATGAGCAACATACAGTATAATTCCTATCAACTTCTTCTCCTAAGTTATATTGTAACAAAACTAGAGTTAAATGTCACTTGTGTATTAGGACACTTGCTTATTACACACTGGGGGCAGAGCAGGGACAGGCGTATCTGATGGCCGGGCATCTACTTATTGTGCTTACTTATTTGTGTAATGAACAAGCAACACACACAACATCTTCCCAACATTTCGAGGTAATGCACATTAACATAAATGCTTTCAAAGAAATAACCTGAATTGCATTAAATACTGCTTTAATAATAACTGCAATACTAAACAAATAACATATATTATTTTCTCAGGGAGCTTCGGTTTCTGAAATTAAACAGCAGAAATCAATCTTAAGATCGGAATCACGTCAAGACTGGCAGCTTTTGGAGATCTGGGTGATGCATTAGCCAAAGCACAGGTGTGACACACCCTCAAAACCTGTCACTAATCTGGGGGAGTAACCGTGCTAAGACATGACTTGTTGAATTATAAAGCCACCTAGGGAACTGGCTGGAACCAATGATACTGGTGTCAGGTAAGAAAAAGACTTTGTCTTAGGCTGACCAACTGCCTATTGTTTAAATGGCTTTGAATTTTAAAAAGTGAAATGTTTCTTTGTATTTTCTTGGAAATGAATAAAAGATTACAGAGTCCTACATAACTGGGAGACACGAAGTAGATGCTGAGTGACGAGAGGTCACTCCAGGTGTGGCACCGTGGCTCTGGCAGCAGATACAAGAGAATTACGCTCTGGAGAGGAGGTAGGGCCATCGGCCAGTGGGTAGACGAAGGTCCCAGCTGGAGGCGGGATCTATAAGAGGTGAAAAGTAAATACTTTAGAAAGGAATGCTAAACATAACCTTGCAAAGCACCTCTTACAAATGACATGAGCTGTGCTAATACCCAACTGTTTAGCAGAGTTGTGGTCATCAATCACTTAGAATGTGCTGTCATGGAAGTGCTAACAAATGTCAACTACTTTCTCACTCACTAATTTATTTCATCTTTTTTTAAACCTTTATTTTATGTGTACCGGTGTTTTGCCTACATGTATCTGTATACTACACGTGTGCAGTGCCAGGGAGGCTAGGAGAGGGCGTCAGATTCTTTGAACTGGAGTTCCAGTCATGGCCAGGGGGTGCACTGGTGATTGGACTCGAGTCCTCTGAAAGAACAGCCAGCTCTCTTAACCACTGAACCATCTCTCCAACCCCTATTTCATCCTTAAATATAGACAATCTTAGAGAGAAACATATGTATCTACTATAGGTAATACAATATTAGAAAACTGAAGGGCAAAATACCTTTTGCTTAAAGATTTTTAAAAAGTAAAGGCATCCTATGTTTGTGATTTCATGTTCCACTATTAATTCCCATTTAATGATACTTCAAACTATAGACACCCTTGTAGACTTCAAGAGAAATAGATGAACTAAGTAAGCCATTCTTTCAGTTCAATGTCCTTCTCTAACATCCTACCCCACACTGGATCCTGGAACTGAGGAGCACAAAGCTCTGAAAACCACACTGTATTGAACAAAAACATTTGCATCCATGCAACTATCTATAAGTTCCTAATGCAAATCTTTCCACTTCAAAATGTCACTGTTGCCTTAATATCGATACATCAGGCTCTGGGGTATAATTGCTCACAACTTTACACCACCTCAGAAAAACATCTTTCAAGTAGTAATGGCTACAAAATGAGTCATGACAAATGGGCTGTGCAAAGTCAATGCAGCTGTAATTGATAACACTTATTCCAACGGCACATTACAAAAACCACACAGAGAGTTCCTGGTGGTTCATCTGAAAAATATCAGACTGGAAACTGTACATGAGAAAATGTATGGACAAGTAATGCTATATGTTCAAAACTAAGCCTTTTAAAAGAAAGAAAACATATGGCAGTCATTATTTAGACTTCTGGCTTTCAAGACTTTAGGTGACATACTGATTACAGCTAAAAGACTGCAGTTTTGGAATGCTGAGTGATTTATAGGATTCAGGAAATGAACAGGAGACAAAATGGATTTTTAAAAAGCTACTGAAAAAAAAAAAAGAAAGGGGGGTTAACATCAAGACACCCATGATCTGTCCTTTCTATATGTTCCTGTGCTGCAAACACTGAGATGAAGCATGGTCTAGAATGTGACTTTGTGGTTCATCAGCCTTGAGCTCATCCAACACTTGTTAGCTGTGTGACCGTGATCACTAGTCGATTTCTCTCAGTTTGCTCATTTGAAGTGGAGACTTGCGAGATTCAGAAATGCAGTTAACACAATACCCAGCAGAGCAGGAGCCCACAAATGGCATCTGCTAGTTTTGTTGCCCTAGAAGATGTGTGTGCTTTCTATGTTCTGTGTCATGCTGCCTGCTAATCAGGAGCAGACACCTGCGAAGCCCAGCAGAACTGTAACTGAAATGGATGGGCAGTGAAGTACCATTCTGTCCTTTAGAGAGCTGGACAAATACAAGGACAGGCTCAAGAATATCCAACTACAGGTTTTTACTACTGTAATTAATTTGTTCCTATTTATTGACGGGCATCACCCGGATATTCAGGAATACTA